CATGAGCAACATAGCAATTTACCTGACCTGAAAGTCCAGCTAGATCCTCCTTTTTAACCCAAACTTTCTTAGATGACATGGTATTCCTAGTCAGCCTAGTAAGCATCTCAGTCAAATGACTAACCTGATTAGTCAGAAAACTGACTTGACTTGGAATATTCTGATTTCTATGCTCATTGCCTAACTTATAACATCTAGGCCTAGTGTGTCCTAGACCTCCACAGTGGTGACAGGTGGGAATGAACCAAGGCTCAAAGGTACGTGTCTGTGGGTGTTTGGGCATAAAATTTCTACGTGATTGATGACTTTGTTCCCTCGAAACATTCTTACCCTTATTTGGACCGTTGACAGCGTTAGACTTCCTAGAGGCAGAAATGAATACAGTTTTAGATGGACCAGCACCATGTGTATTACCCTCAACATATCCTAGACCTTTCCTATCTCCCGTAGGCTTATTCATTCCCAAAATATCATCCAATTTCTTAGTTCCACTTATGAAAGTCTGAAGATGAGCATTAGATTTCTCCAATTCACTAGTTAATGTCTTAACCTTATCTTCGAACTTCTCATTGACACATTTTAACTCACTGACACTCTTAAGTGAATTCTGGAGATTACTAGCATGTCTCTCTTTTTCTCTTTCAAGTTCATCAACCTTTTTGAATAGGGCTTTATTGATCTTTTTGATTTTAAGACTTTCCTTGAACAAGAGTTGATAGGCCTCATGTATGTCTATGTCATCCTCATTACTAGAATTATTGTTGTGAAGTTCTTCCTCAACCTTGTCACTCTCCTTATCAGATTCACTCTTAATAGTCGACACAAATGCCATATAGTTCCCTTCATCTTCACTACTAGATGACTCCTGCCTTTCACTGGTCTCAAACTCGTTATCAGTAAGTGAAACAACTAAGGCCTTACCCTGCCCTTTTCTTTGATTCTTCTTATAACTAGAGCACTCATTCTTATAGTGATCTATACCTTGACATTCATGGCACCTAACCAAACGTGGTTTATCACTAGAACTTTTATTGTTAAATCTTTCAGTT